CGAAGCAGTCCAGTTGCCAAGAGTCGTTGAACCGTGTGGATAGGCGGAGAACCGCTCTGTCGAAGGGCCGCTTCAGCACCAGCTCTGCGGGCACCATCTCGAGACAATTGAGCTCGAACGGCTTGTCGTCCTGAGTGGAATACGCGTCGATCAGGGCTGTGCTCGGGACGTGGACGGCAGTAATGGTTTGTCGCGCTGAGGAAATGCTTGCAATCCCGACGGATAATACTTTCGGCAGCGGGAGGTGGGGTCCATGACCAGCGTGGACAGTCGCGGACTATGTGTCGGCGACCGAATGTGCCAGGAGTCGCAATCTCTCGAGTCGGTTGCAGCGCGCGAGTGCTTCGAAGAGCGACTCTGCCGGTAGCGGTGCCATCGAGAGAGTTGGCAACAGCTCGACGTCCCGTAGAGAATCGGCGGCAATGAATGGAAAGTACGCGGCTGGTTCGAGATGTACAAAGTGCAAGTGGGGCAGCTCGTCGTCAGACACTGGATCCAGATCGGGAAGGTCGCTTATGTGGGGTAGATCTAGGCTGGGGACATGGTTCGTAAACAATGTCTCGCGGAGCGAGAGTCTCTTCAGATTCGGCATGCTCATTTTGAGAACAACGCCGAGATCATAAGGATGTAAAGGGATCATGGTCAACGACAAGGAGACGATCGGTGCGGTGTGGTCGGAAAGCAACTGAGGAAGAAACGAGCTTCGAGTGCTCGGAGTCACCACTGTCGCCTTGATAAGAGTCGGGGACGACCTCCCCAAGAGGGCCTTTGCAGAGTCATCCGGTGCGACGACAGGAACGGCTAGGAGACCGTCCCATGTCGTCACTACCCCGTCTGAAAGGGAACTGAGGTCGGCGACGCCTGCGGCCCAGAATCGAGGCGTCGAGAGGTAGACGGAGCGCCACAATTGACAGACGGATGGAAGACAGATACTGCTCCGGCTCGTCTACGTATCGCCGAATATCTACAGAGCAGCTCGGCCGGAAGAGAATAGATAGGTGCGGCGTCATCGTAAAGGGGGGCGTCTCGCATGAGTACTGTTCCGACTTTCGGGGGGTGATGCTCGGCCCATCGAGATCTGCGCAAGCGGTGATTGGCATGAGTGAGTGGGCGTTCGAGCTGAGAACGACTGATTCATCCACTAGACTTAGTATCAGGGTTCGAACTAGGGTGTGGGCAGTGAGGATTAATTGTCGTGCAGTCCAGGAGCTGCTGGAATCGAGGAGCAGAAGCGGGATCCTCTGATAAGAAGACAGATTGCGAGTTGGCGACCGTGGGCTAACTTGAAGTTGCGAGTGCAGACCTTGTTGACTAGGGGCTCGCACTGCCAGCTGTGCGCTACGCGCCTCGGCAAAGGTATTCTAGACGCTTGATCCCGCGCAAACACCGCAAACACACCACAGGCGCCTCTATCCATGCTTCTCCCTTCGCAGTGTCATCCAGGACAGGTCTGCGCAGTGAGCCCAATCAAGACAAGAACTAGACGCGGTATATGCTGATACTTGGTCATGTCGCTGTATATGGAATCGTAGGTGCTCATTTTGTTCCGTTAGAGGCCCCGGTTACAGCTACATCCTACTTGTACTCGTCGCCGCAGCCTACACATTTGCATGCCGTCATCTTCTAAGAACCCAGATCATACAGGTGAGAGTCTTTGTCTGACAATACTTGAATATGAACAGCTGCCATAGTGTACCGCTCCTGAGATGTCATCACTACCCCGACGCCTGGGGCGGCGCCGGCGGACGCCCAACCTCCCACCACCCCAGACCAGTGGGAGCAGACCCTCGCACAGCTCCGCGTAACAAATGAAGAGCTACAGAGACGCAATGCAGAAGCCGAGAAGGATCGCGACCTCTTCCGCGACCTCTACACCAAAGCGTCATCGCATGCGTCGGAGGTGACCAAGGAAAACAACGAGCTCACCGAGCGTGCGGCGCTCGCAGAGACGCAAACCCACGACGTCGTCGCGATGATGAAGGCGACGTACGAGGAGCGCATCCATCTACTCGAGCAGGAGGACAAACGCTGGAAGATGCAGGTCCATGCCAGGCTAACGGAGCGCGACGGACGGCTGGACGAGGAGACCCGGCGACGCGCAGCGCTCGAACCGGAGCTGCGCGCGGAAAATGTGCGACTGAGAGAACAACTGGAACATCTGGAGGAGGTCTATGCCCGCCTGGAAGGGCTGTTGGAGAAGATGGCAAAGCAGCAGATTGAGGAGACGGTTATATTGGGGCAGACGGTGACGGACCCGGCCCTGTCAACAAAAGGGATTGGAGTTGCCTGATGGTCATGAGTGAGTGGTGACTACGCGGTGAGTCTATGGATGTAACTCGAGTATCCTCCGGAGATTCGTAGCATGCAGATGTCGCGTGAGAGATGGAACGTAGGGCTCATGAACGTTTTGCACACAGACCGGTATCGGTTCCACGGACTTTTGTTTACATTGCCGGCACAGCATCTATGTAACTCTTTTGCTTCAATTGTTCGCAGATGACTACCCTACACTTGGAGTCTCAGTCAAACACCTATACACTGTACCTCGCAGGGCTCGCCCGAACCGAGCCTGCAGCCAGATTATCGGAATGTCTTGATTTTGACGTAGAAAATCTCAAACCTGTACGTGTATGTGTATACGACTAGGTTGCGTATTTTGCTCCCATAGAGAGAGTGCATAGGTAGGGCCCTGTGGGCGATCCTGACGAAGACAACCTATCTCGTGTTTCCACTTCAAGTTCACTTCCATACAGAATAAAAGAGTCTAAGAGGGCGTGTCTGGTGTCGATAAGGGCGTAGCCGATGTCAATATCCGCCTTCTTCACGAATATGTCACTCAGCTGAACCATGAAGTATACGAGTCATTGACTTACCAATCCGCGAGCGCAGAGGAGCCCAGGCTGGACACGCATATCTCCGGAAACGCAAATTACATAGACGTTTCGGCGGCCCTTGTCCGAAGTGGTAGTCCATCCTGACAGTAATACTGAACATAAGTCATTGCCAACTCTGTCTACTAGTATGAGCATGTTGGTATATCCGAAACCCAACTGTCCTCGTCCGCGTATTCCCGCTATCCTAAGCTATCGCGGGAAAAGTACGTGCTGCGCGTGAAGAACAGAGTAGGTTTCTTCGAAGCTCCGAACGCGCCGAAGAACCTTGCCACGAACAGCCATCCAGATCGGATCTTTCTTCTAACCCCCAACCGCGGCAGGAGCGGACTCGGAGAGGACAAGCCGCCTCCGACTGTAGAAGACGCTCCCAGAGCAACGAGCATCAAGTCTTGTTTCTTCTCGAGACGCAAGATGCGTGTGTCCAGGCGCGTGAGCTGCATGATCTAGACGCCAAGTCTCGCGACTATGAACAAACACTAAGTCACACTCGAGTGAGGGTAGAAGAAATACCTGGAACTTGGAGATGGCATCCTGGAGCGCCCGTCGGTGGTCGGCCAGGCTCGTGGCGTGTTCATCCTTCGCGAGGAGACGGCGTACAAAACTTTCCCCGCGCATCCGAGACATGATATCACCGATCGTTTGCATTCTCCTGCAGTCGCAAACCGCTCTGAGAACCGACGTCTACTCGACTCCGGCAGCGGCAGACTACAGCCGCGTCCACTCACCACTCAAGCTCGGCCAAGTTCAGTCTGGTGATCTCGTCCAAGTCCTCCTCCTCAACGTCTTTCGTAGCAGAGAGCAGTCCGCTAGCGACCTCCTCGGTGAGCGCTGAGATCTTCTTGCACTCTTTCCGGTTGCTCTTGACCGCCTGCCAGCGCGGGCGTCCCACGATCAGCAAATTCGAGGCCCGTATACTACTCGAAACGATACTCACAGCGGCGTGCTCCATCACCTTGGACGCAGCTTCCGAGATTCCCTGCATATACGGCACCGACAGCCCCAGCGTCGCCGCCACCGCAACGGTCACCTTGATCCCCGCAACGACGGTCGAGCCTCGAGGAAGGCAGGGCGCCGCCTTCGCCTTCGCCTTCCTGGCCAGAACGGAAATGCGAGCAGAAGGCTTGTTTGAGGCAGATTTGAGCTTGGAAATGAGAGCTGATGCCATCGTTATTGACTTGTGCTGACGACGTGTCCCGGGGGGTGGAATGGGTCGTACTAGTAACGACCCAGGGTTCGAAGACCTCTCATCCTCCCCTGCCCCCTTCCGAGGGCCGACAGAGACGGTTCTATTAGGTAACGCTGTGAGGCAAATATCATGTGCGTCCCGCAGCAAGCAGTCTCGTCTTCTAGGCAACGTGCTATGGCGGTGATTCATGTATACTCACTACATGGAGACCGTGGCATCCCGAAAGACGATAATCTCCCTTGCTCAGGCGCACCATAGTGCATGCGACTTGACATCCTGTAGGCAATTATCGTATATCAGCCTGATTCCTTGGAACATGGTCTCGCCTACCATCGCACCAACTTCCAGAAACACCCCGTCCAACCCCACCGTCCAACCCAGACAGAAAACCTAGCTTGAAAACAATTGTGATACAGCAAGAGACGTGAAGGAAAAGTGATGAGGTGCGATACACTGCCCTCCTAAGGCGCGCGTAAGATACATATTTCATGAGCTCGTACACGCATACACCCTGCGCATTGTACAACAAGATCAGCTTCTTCCCTACCATTCGTTCCGTCCCGATCACACGCGAGCGCGCAGTAAGACAACATGATTGTCGTTGGTGAGTGTCGCGAGTCGCTACTCTCCACGGGCAATACGCTCCTTCGCGTACTCGACAAAGTCGTCGATCGTCGACGGCCATGATCCTGTCGAAGGACATCAGCCAAGGTTCCAACAATAAAACACGCCGACAAACGCACCCTCAACATCGTACTTCTCGAAGTTCGCGTCGATCGTCCGCACAAACTCCAAGAACTGCCCCCACGATGGTGAGCGAGGCGGAACCCACGCCCGGCAACGCAGAAGGAGCGACGCTCACCATCTGCCACACGTCCTTGCTCACGCCCTTCACCCCGCTCGACTCCAGGAACTCGAACCACCACTGCGTGTGCTTCTCGCCCCAGCCCTCCTCGTCCCCTGCGCCCGCGGCCGCGCTCCTCTCCGCGGTGCCGTCCATGATCTCGTCCCCGTCCTCGTCCTGCCCCGCAGGCACGGCCGCGATGTGCGAGAGCGCGCCGCCCGCGAGCCCGTGCGGGATGAGCAGCGCCCAGAAGCCCTGCGCCATGTCCAGCCCTGCATCGCGACCCGCGATCGGTGTTTTTCATTCACACGACGACATTGGGAGAGGGAGCAGGGGAACACGCACCGAGCGAGCGCTGCCCCGGCGGGCGCGAGAACTCGAACGTGTAGTTGTACACGTTCCGGAAGTAGCCCGTGTCCGTCGCGAGCTGCTGCCGGAGCGTTGCCAGCGTCGTCTTGAAGCCGTCGATCGTGTCCACCCTGTGTGCGGGCGACGCGTGAGCCTATGTGTTGTGCAGAGGTAGGAGGGACTGCGGAAGGGGATGGAGGCAGGGAAGGGCAAGACCGAACTCACCCGAGCTGCTTCCAGCCATCTGTCCAGCCCTTGCGCTGCCACTGGCCCATCGCGGGCGACTTGAGCTCGTACGCGACGGCGAGGAGGACGACGTCCTCGGGGTTCACCGCCAGGTCCTCGCAGAGCTTGATCGTGCCGTCGACGGTGATGTCATCCCCGTCATCATCTGCGGCACGCGGGAGGTTGCTGAATGAGCGGCAGGGGTGATAGAAACTACACAGTACAGGACCGACTCACCCTTGTACTTGTCGAAGAGCGCATTGAGCTTGCTCGTCGATGCCACGGGCTTGCCTGCGTGGGGGTCGTTGTAGTACGCGTCCAGAGCCTGATCTAGTCGTCTGTACTTGGTGAGGTATCTTCGGGCATCCTTGCTCCTGCGCGCGATGTGAGGATGGCCAAGGATAGGGAGCGAGGAGACAGCATGATAGATGATGGGTCAAGGAGAGTAGAATGATCGACTGATACTCACGACGCGCCAGTTACGGCAGAGAATTGCGCGGTGAGGGCGTCCATCTCCTTGTTCTCCTTGGCTCTTGCTTTAGATGACTGCGGCCGAAGAGGGAGCGCACAGGGGACGTATGGTGTCCGGCGAGAGGACGAATTGGGAGGACGAGATAACATCAATGATGCCGGATCGGTGCCAGTAGCGGGATCGAGAAGGACAGGCAGTGACAGGGAAGCATGTATGTAGTAGACCCACGCGTCAGATAGAACAGTCACATCCCGATCCGCCTGCGCACGTAGCACACGAGCGGGCGGGAGGGGAGTATTAAGGGACTTGGACTAACCATGCTACGATCGACACTACCAGAATCCTGCGACGAGAGGGATAGACTGTGTTTGAAGACAAAGAGACCGATGAAGAGTGCGAGAACAAGGCCGAGCGGGGTAAAGCAGAGGGGAGGGGAGGGCGAATCCAGGATGAGATATCTGGGATCGCGATGAGCAGAGCGGGGACTCGGAAATGGCCTTTGCCGAGGCGCGAGTCGACGCGTTTGTGGCGCACAGCTGAGCGCCTCCCAACCCGGGCTGAGGGGGAGTGCGAGTACTTAGTACTAGTACTTACAGCTGCGAGCACCGTGTGGACAGAGTCTGGGTGACTTGATGCAACTTCAAGGCAGCCCACGGTCGCCACCTCGCTACCGATAAATTGTGGCCTGAGACGATCCCGCTTCCGCTCGCCACTGCCCACGTCACGGTTCCGAGTCAGCTGCCCCACTTGCACTTTGTACATCTCGAACCAGCCGCGTACTTTCCATTCATTGCCGCCGATTCTCTACGGGACGTCGAGCTGTTGCCAACTCTCTCGATGGCACCGCTACCGGCAGAGTCGCTCTTCGAAGCACTCGCGCGCTGCAACCGACTCGAGAGATTGCGACTCCTGGCACATTCGGTCGCCGACACATAGTCCGCGACTGTCCACGCTGGTCATGGACCCCACCTCCCGCTGCCGAAAGTATTATCCGTCGGGATTGCAAGCATTTCCTCAGCGCGACAAACCATTACTGCCGTCCACGTCCCGAGCACAGCCCTGATCGACGCGTATTCCACTCAGGACGACAAGCCGTTCGAGCTCAATTGTCTCGAGATGGTGCCCGCAGAGCTGGTGCTGAAGCGGCCCTTCGACAGAGCGGTTCTCCGCCTATCCACACGGTTCAACG